TAAGGCTATCAGTGCTGATCAACCATGTAAAACCCAAACTTTTAAATAACTACTGTAATATTATTTGGAGCCAATTAGCATAAGATTCTGATGAGACTATGGTCAGGTGTCTGATTCCCAACAGGGTTAGGAACTGTGCTCTTTCACATACTAACCCAATTTTGCTTTCTTAGAGCATGCATATTATATAAATTAACTGGTTGACGGTACCGGTAGTACCTACTCTTAATGCTTTTCATCTGATGCTTAGTACACAGAAAATACTCACTAAACGCTATTAACATGATTCTTTTCTTTTGTATATAAATTACCACCACAAAAATATAAAACAGATCGAAACAAATCCATTCCTAACTGTAACAATACAACCAGAAGAATCTACTCAGAGAATGTTAAGTATTTTGTCTTTGTACCTGGCAACACTAGAGCTACCTGCTGAGCCTTTACCATGGACATTATTTCACAGCACCAACATATTCGGCATTATTAAGCATCAAAGTTCAAAACCAGCAATCCATAACACAAACTTATATCTTGCTGTTTACTTTTCTTTTTTCTTTTATTCATACTTTAAAAAGAAGTGCTTGGCCACCCGATGGTGACTTCTCACACCTTTCCTGATCAATCCAGGTAGTTTGATAAAAGGAATAACAGTTTCTATTTTCACTTTGGGTCCCCTCTCAGAAAAATGAATAAAGGGAAAATGGCTATGCCGAGGAGGTGGATTGCTTGAGGTCAGGAGCTGGAGACCAGCCTGAGCAAGAGCGAGACCCCATCCCTCCTAAAACTATAAAAACTAGCTGGGCAATGTGACTGGTGCCTGTAGTCTCAGCTACTTGGGAGGCTGAAGCAAGGGGATCACCTGAGTCCAAGTCCAAAGTTGCTGTAAGACAGGACACCATGGCACTCTACCCATGGAGACAGAGTTATATTTTGTCTTAAGAAAAAAAGAATTGGAAAAGAATAAAATTATTTTTAAACATGTTTTTTTTTTTTCCTTATTTGAGGTTATTAAACACATAGTATTTTAAATGTCTCCAAATACTGCTTACATTCCTACCATTAATCTATCCCCTTGAATCATCAATAACATCCTTTTCAATTCTACCATTCTCTGAGGCCAGTACAATCTTGTCCTCTGATATTCAGGTTTACCATTTTGAAATGGAGCAGAGATGACAAATGCTTAGAATTATAGCCACAGCATGCGCAAGGATTTAGCTCCCTCTTCTGTATACTCTCAAGGCTGTTGGTTATAGGGACTAATATATACCCATTCCAGGGTTTTTCTACTGGCTTCTAGTCATAAACTGTGTAGTAGAAGTAGAATGGATGGGTAAGGAAACACGATGAAATTCATTTTTACAGTTCCTTCCAAACAACTCCTAAACAACAAAATCTAGTTAAAGATTCTTAGGATTTTTTAGTTCTTCTAAAAATGAGGATTCCAATGAAGTGGTTTGGAAGTATTTATTTAAAATCGCTTTAATACTGTTTCCCAAGTACCTGACTCTGACTATGTTGTGCTAATATTAAGAAGTTCATCAGGTGGCGCCCGTAGCTCAGTGGGTAGGGTGCAGCCACATACACCAAGGCTGGTGGGTTTGAACCCGGCCTGGGCCAGCTAAAACAACAATGACAACTACAACAACAACAAAATAGCTGGGCATTCTGGCGGCCGCCTGTGGTCCCAGCTACTTGGGAGGCTGAAGCAAGAGAATCCCTTAAGCCCAATTGTTTGAGGTTGCTGTGAGCTGTGACACCATAGTACTCTACAAAGGGCGACAGCTTGAGACTCTGTCTCAAAAAAAAAAAAAAAAAGTTCATCAATCAAGAATGGAATGGAATCCGAGCACTTTGGCAGGCCAAGGTCGATGGACTGCTTGAGCTCAGGAGTTCAAGACTAGCCTAAGCAAGAGTGAGACTCCATCTCTCCTAAAAACAGAAAAACTAGCCAGGTATTGTGGCAAGCACCTACAGACCCAGCTACTCAGGAGGGAGAAGCAGGAGGATTGCCTGAGCCTAAGAGCTTGATGTTGCTGTGAACTATGATATCACAGACTCTACCCTTGGGGACAAAATGAGAATCTGTCTCAAAAAAAAAAAAAAAAGTCCATGGCTCACACCAAAGTTTTAGAGTAGCTTGTAAAATTATAGCAAGGCATAAGAACAAGTAGTAGGGTGTCTTAAAAGGCAAGAAGAAAGAGAATGAATTTCATTTCTTAATGGAATAAAAAAAAATTAAGTGCAAACACAAGATTGATGCTGGAACAGTTTCAGTGACACCAGTGGTGTGGTAGCCATAGAACACTGCTATCTTGAGAAAGGCAGAAAGGATCTATCTTTGTGGCTTTTATACATGAGCTGCTTATTCAGTTTTTCCAAGACTGTTTTTTATCAGCTCTATGATTATTTCCTTTTTTGTTTTTCCTCAATTTATGGAGGGGATTGGATCACCTGCCAGCCCAGCACCTCTGGCATTTTCCTATGACTGGTCTTCAACTGCCTTGAAATAATACACCAGAAAAGCACTCCGCATCATCCCAGACCTTCCTAAACCATCTTTTAGATAGAGATTATGTGCTGGGTCTGAAACCCAAATGGTACAGATGCACAAAACACTGAACTGATTTACTTAATCTTCAAGGTAATTAGTGAGTAAAAAACATATTTGAGGAAGAGATGTCCAAAGAAGGATTAGTGTCATTTAACTCTAGGCTAAGAAGAAAAAATAAACATTTTATGCATTTTATCTATTTAATAATAATCTATGAATCATTAAAAATCATCTTAGAAAGAAAAAAAAGTGAAATGAAAATGAAATCCTGGAGAATAATTTTTTAAAGAACTTTGATAGAAACACCCTGACTTCCACTAGTTAGCAAGTCTGCTTTGCTCTCTTCTCATACCTTTCTTTTTTTTTTTTT